TAATTACAAATTGATGATAGAAGTACCAAGAGAGAATGCCGAGAAGTACATGCATATGTATATTGCTTAATAGACGTGATCTAGACGGTACCACGGTATGAAACATGAACAAGTGAAATTATAAATATTAAACATGTGTTTCATAACAGCATTTCCGAATGTATCCTGCCCTTAAATTATGGGCAAGACAGCCCGGTAAAAAAGTATGTATAAGAGCGATGTTGTTGTTGATCGGTAAATGCTTTGGCTTTAACAGCTTTTTTATAATTTGAAAGATGGCAAACACACCATGATTTTGTCAAACGTATTCCAATTTCATATTCTTGCCGTGATTTCGAGTTTATTCAAAAGAAATTTTGAATGCAGACATTTTCTTGCAATGCAGCCTTTACCAAAACAATTTGTATAGTATAGGCGATTGATATTTTCAAAATAATCTCCGTTAATATTTTCTAGAATTTTGAGGCACCCACACCTACCACACAGCTGTGCTTTCAAATACTTTATATATTATTTATGCTAAAATGATGTGCTTAATTCAGACTTAAATGTATATTTCTGTAAATTATTGAGTAAATCGCTTAACTTTTCATTTCACATGGGCAAATTTCAGTTTCTTCGAGTAAACAGAGCAAACACAAAACCCAGCCACCATGGATGCCATCAAGAAGAAGATGCAAGCGATGAAAATCGACAAGGACGGAGCATTGGAACGTGCTCTTGTCTGCGAACAGCAAGCACGCGATGCCAATACTCGCGCCGAGAAGGTTTGTAATTACCCATATACACATACACTTATATACTAACATATACATATGTATGTAAATACATATGCTCATATGTATCAGCAAATTACAGCTGTTCGATAAGCTAACCAACAATCAGCAAAACAGTTATAATCATTCAAACGGTTTAATTGAACAGCGTGCATTTTTAATTTCTTCATTCAATTGCTGAAAATTCGGAGTTTTTTCTCGCCAATTACGCCAAACGTTTGCTGTTTGTACGTTGGAATTGTTTATTGCAAATTATTTCTTTTTTTCTTTTTCTGTTTTCAATATGAAAACTTAATTAGTGGCGGCTTCACACACGTGTCTGCAGCGTTCACAATGCATAAAGATTAAATATCTCCGCATGAATAATGAATTAAATAAGATTGATCGGTACTGTTATAATGTAGTTTAAAAGAAATTTCTCAAATAATGGCAATTCACTAATATGAAACTTATTTTTAAGCACTTTCTGCAACGAAAACTATTAAATATGATTAGGAGTACGAAAAAATTATGTAACAGAAAAAATAATAATAATAAACATAAATAAATATAAATATGTATAATAAATATATATTTAATAAGAAAAAAATTATTTTTTTAAATAATAAATATATTATATTATTTATTATGCTTGTGTAGGCCGAGGAAGAGGCACGTCAATTGCAAAAGAAAATCCAGACTGTTGAAAACGAATTGGATCAGACACAAGAAGCCCTCACACTTGTCACAGGCAAACTGGAAGAGAAGAACAAGGCTCTACAGAATGTAAGTTTGTCGTTTTAAAGCCACTAGTTATAAGTATATATGTATATGAAAGTTATTAAAAAAAGTTAATTAATTAAATTATTTTATATTAGCGTTATATATTCAGACTGTTTAGCAAAACTTAAAAATAATTAAGGAACTGATTGCAAGCTCGCATTACAATAACAAATGCAAGTAAATTTCTTGAGAAATTTAGGAAGAAAATTTTTGCAAGTTTTTTGACCATCAAGGTATGCCGGCTCCTGGCAATAAAAAGTAACTTTTACGGATTTTAAAGTAGCCACCAGTATGCTTGAAAATTTGCTACTTGTTTCATAAATTTTTCTTTAAGCAATAGTGTATGTATTTTCAGGTTTTAGTTATTTAAATGTTATCATCCATTCGACTGTACATTTCAAATAAGCTAAATATTTTAACTATACAAAAACATTGCTTTATTTCCAAATCTTTACAAGTGAAGGCTTGAATTTTATATTATTTTCACAAAAAATTATCTCCCCTTGAACAATTATTACTGTATATGTATATAACTTGTTCAATGTAAATCTTCCAGCCTACAGCTTTTTTATCTCTCCAAACATCCTTTTGAGAATTTTTCAAAGAAATATCAGAGACGTTTCTGATATATGTTGTAATATTGTATTTTCATATTTACTATTTAAAAATAGTTTTTTATTTATAGTAGTTTTTTCTCAGGATTTTTTTCAGTATTATTGTTTTGTTTTTAATTCCATATACATTACTATTTTAAATTAGAAATACATATATTATCATATATTATATATACTAGTTTAATATTTCCATAATTTACTTTTCATATTATTTCATCGTATTATTATAAGAAATACTCAAATACTCAATAAAATGAGGGAAAAATTACATGAAAATTTATATTCACAAAATACTATATTATTCCATGATCTCCAATATACTGAAATAGGAGTGTTAAAAACTATAGTATATGTGTATTTTGTTTTTTAAAATGAAAGAGTGCCTTCGGTACAGCTTTTGCTTTTATAAAAAATATTATTTTAGAGCCATTAGCCTTTACAAGGGATTATTATCGATTACAGAACGGACACATTGATGCCTGTCTGCTAAAACGAGGGAAGATTACCGTAATGGCACTTATCAATATGCCAAACTTCAAAAAAGCACATACTACACGCATTATTCGTTCAAAACGATTAGCATGATAAATGGATGTATTTGCAAAGAATGCGCCACTGTTATAAGAACAAACGAGCAACGGCAATAAATTAACATAACAGCGCTAACATAACATTCGCTGACAATGAATACCGTGCCTATTTCAAATTGGCTAAAGTCCGTTGTCTGGCAGCGACGTTGTTGCTCGCGTTGCCAACTACACAAACGTCTCTTTGCTTAGTTTCCGTTGATCTATTTTTAAAACCAAAGTCTCATGGGGAATTTGTAGAAATTCGGAAAATTCACACACTCACATACATGAAATTGTGTGCACAATACATATGTACATATGAATATGTGTAAAGGTGTATATGGTATTATGCAAATTAAAAAAGAGTTCCGCCCATTTCCAAATACGGCGGAAAGAGTTTAAAACCGTATCATTTTGAGTGGTTTCAAAATATCGAATAACGCTACTCAGAGAGTAGAGAATAGCATTTTGTTGTTGGTTTTTTCTTTCCATAAGCGCATGCGTTTCTTGAGATACTCAATGCAAGTGTTTATTTATTTTATAGTTTGCAAAAATTTACCAGATTGGAAATTTTAGAAAAAAATAAATAAGTATGTATAATGGAAAATTTCGAAATATTATAAACTTTGAAATTGGAGCATATTTAACATTAACATACAAATACTTTCATTACAATCTACGCTGGAATTAAATATTATTTTGAGATGAGTAAATTTTTGCATAAACAAATTTTAAATTTGCGGCGCACATGTTTTCTGAAGAGGAAATACGATACACACATATGTATGTATTTGTATGTATATGTATGAATAATGTACATTTAAGTAAGATGTTAACAAACTTAATTGTTATCTAATATATCTCCACACACAAAATCACGTGTAAATATGTATTACATCTGTAATTGTATAACCAAATTCAACTTTTCAACTTTTTTCTGGCATGCTAAAAATTAATGGGTTTATGCTTGTAGCTTGTATAGAAAGTTATAAAGCGTATATAACATTTTGAAATGTTGTTAATTAAAAGAAAAAAGATACATTTTTCAAAACAAAAATATAAAATGACTATATACCGGTGCGCTGTACAAACAAATTTAATTGCGATACGTACATCCACATGCATGGTGACTAATGCATAGGCACAACAACAAACTGACTTATGGAACGCTATAAGAAAAACTACACATATGTATATGTACATATAATACACACTATTCGCTAAATAAGCACACACAATTATTTGAAACACATATACATATGTACATATGTATATGAACATACATATATAGCGATATAAAAAAATTCCATATGAAAATACTCGCCTGATGACACAGAGCAATGAATTGGCGTTGACTCTCTTCGTTGGCGACCTCGACTGAGAGAAAGTGGAGCACATATACAAGTGCCCAAGTACATGGCTAAAATAAAAGTACATACATACATATGTGCTCGTCCTCTCCCACATATGCATTGGTTAGCTATAGGGCGGGCGTGCGCACCGCTAATTTTACTGTACGATCACAGTGGGGTCGATGGGTTGATGGTCGACGGTCACGAATTGTAGTGTGCTGCAGCCGGCTAGTCAAGCGGATAATTCGTAAGAGACGACAAAGAGAGTGGGAGCGAGTTATTAGAAAGTTTAGCTTACATTTTTACAATTATTACATATGGCTGTACATACATACTAGCTATACACATTAGCCAACTCTTCCTCAACATATATTTATTAGATCACTGGGAGTGTAACGTTCGCAACCGGCTAGTCATAGTAGGGGGTGGTGTTTCGTGTGAGCTAAGCATATTGCTCATATCACTCAAATAGCAGGAGTGTATGTAGAGAGTGGCGACAGTAGAGCATACGGCGACGATCATATGGAGCAGGAGTAGTAATTAGGTGTACATATATGACGGTCAAACTTATATACAATTTATACATACGTACAGACATATGCAATAGATATATTACGTGCCACAACTAGCGCGCATAGCGGCAACTACGGGAACGGCAATAGAGCACAAGCTGAAGCAACAGCCAACAGCTATGGTTAGAAGAAGCAACAGCAGAAATTAAATCATCGTAGAAGCGAGGCCAACAATATCGCATAATTAAATTGAAGAGTGTTTCAAGTAGTTAAACACATACATATGTGGAGTAGATTTTAAATAAAAACAATAATTACATACATGTAATAATGTATAACTGAAAACTCTATTTTCATTTAATGTGAGTTAAATAAAATTTTAGAGTTGAACTAAAAAAAAAAATTGGCGTATTTGCAAAAAAAAAAAACAAACATTGAGAAAAAAAAGCAAATACATTCCAATGAAAATTTTGTAACTTGATTGGAGCGCGGCGATATTCCTAAACATTGCAAATATTAGCGCAAACTCAAATACAACCGGAAACCTAAATAAGTTTGTACGTGTGTAATTAAATAATTTTACGCGTTATATACGCATACAAATATACATACGAAATTAAACCAAGTATTACCAAATCACGCTAACTCTACGTAAACGGGTGTGATATGAACGTACAGTATCATAGATAATACATATATCTAGATATATGTATGTATTTATGTAAGTAAATAGTGGTGCGACTATGTTCATACATAAATGCATACGCGTATAAACAGTAAACGTCAATTGTAATTGAAACTCAAAAACAGTGAAGTTTTAAGTATGAGATATGTGTATTCACAGCAAAAGAAACATCAACATGATTAGACAAAAATATTTTGGTGGAAAGTAACTAAGCCCATATTGATCGGCAAATAATAGGAAAGTCAATGCAGTATTTGTGGGATAAAGAGAAAGTGTATGTACGCATGAACTTTGAAATGGAAAATATACATAAATCATAAATATACAAAAATCAATATAAATAAACCAAAGACATAAGTTAATGCACAGAAAAACATTCAAAGATGATCAATAGATTACTGAAATAACCAAGATAAACCAGCAACAGTAAACAAGCACACAGTTTTGGAGCGAATCAAATGTAAATTGGAGTGATAACAGCAGAAACTCCATTCAAAAAAAAAATAAATAAATAAAAACATTACGAAGTGGAACATTTGTTGTATACACATGCTGTTATCAGCCGTTTATATTTCGAATTTAAGCTGCAAGCTGGTTTTCGTGAACCATATTTGTAGTTTTCCATTTGCAAGAACAGGTGCAGCAATTAAACCCGATACCCTAAAATAAAATAAAAAACACAGCTTCTTTTGTAATATACGATAGAGCAGATCACTTATGAACTCAAGTTAAATTGTCCGCCTGAGATTTTTGTGCGCAAATCGAAATACTCTTGCAACGAGCAAACTCATTATGGTTCAAGGAACACTGTGCGAACATAAAACAAATACAAACGCATGGCAAACAGTGAGCTATAGTAAAAAACCGCAAACGAAAAATCACTTTAAAGCAAAAGGTGGAGGTGGTGGTAGTATCGATAAGTCAAATGTACAAATTAAAAATACATTGAACAAAAATTCGTTAGTAAAACCGAAATCGCAAACTACAACATCGCTTTTGAAAGCGGCAGCGAATAATCAAAACATCTCAAGGACGAAAACGTCAACAACTCAAAAGCTGAATTTGGCACAATCAAATAATGCCATAGTGAAGCAGAAAATAGCACCCACTGTTGACAAAACAAAAAGAACGATAGCTGCAGTTGGCAGCATACCAACTCAGCAGCAACAACAAACACTGCGTAATCGACAGCAGCAGCAGCAACAACAGCAACACGTTCAGCGGCAGCAATCGCCCTTGTTGTATGTTCGTCGCCGGCGAGTAAATCACGAAATCAGACAAATTAAACGTGCTCACCGCCACCTATTGACAAGTGGCGGGTGCGACTGGCAGCACCGCCAAGCGACCGATAGTACTGGTACTGGTGTGGCAACCTTACGCAAGCAAGACGTCAAGTGTCAAACGAAGGCCAATAACAACTGTAGTCATTCGAACAGCTGTCGCTGTACAGCGACAAAGAAGAAACAGCAAAAGTGTCATCCATCGCAACAACAAAAGCAACAGAAGAGAAAATTGCAAAATTTAGTGAAAAATGCCCACAGTGGCGGAGGAGCATGTACTAATAACAGTGGTAAATCAAAGCAGGAGAAAGGTAAACAACAAATTGGCATTGAACGTGTTGGTACTGTGAAATCGAAAGAATCCTATGCAGAATCTGTTATCTCCTCGCGTTGGGATTCGATCGAAGAACAATTAAACTATCTGGATAAATTACTGTATTTCTGTGAGGACGAAGAGGATGCCTGTTGTGCATGGAATTGTAATATAAACAAAGCTTACGATTGCAGTAGTGAAAGAGCAAAATCAGAGGAAATTTATTACGAAGGTGACGTCGACGACGACTACGAGAGTGACTGGAGTACTGATTGGAGCCAATCAGATATGTCAACTACAGATAAGAGTGTAGATGATGCAGACATGCAATCCACAACAAGTGGTGCAGGATCTGCATCCACAACTACGTCACCTGTTGTTCCTACCTCACATAGACGACGCGGTCATCAGCATCATCCCCGTTTTTTGGGCACACGCCGTCCAAATATTCCAAATGTTCAAGAAATACTTGCTGCATTATATCGAGGTGATTCACAAAGTGTTCTCACCAACTTACGTCAAGCCACTCAGGCAGTACAAGAAGACAGCCCCTTGTCCGTAGGTGGCGGAAGCGATGTAGAAACAGTATCTTCCACAATGGGAGATTCACAATATACGGATGAACCAGATGAAGACTTGGAATTACAGCTTTCAAAAACATCAATGCTAAACTTGCCTCTAACCGACTCAGTAACCACGTCGATGGGCAGCAACAGTCCAACTCCTACGGATGAAAGCAGTATGGTTGATGAAGGCGTGGTAAGCGCACAAACGCCCACCAGCAATACTCCGAAATCACAAAAAAGCAAATCTAAACGTGATAAAAGTGAAAAACTTGATCGTTCAGAAAAAAAGAAAAGGGCAAAGAAGGATAAAAGTAAACGTGCATCAGTTTGTTCCGATGCAGATGGTAATATAGTTAGTTCAGGCGAAGCGCACACAGCGGCAGATGAAGGTATCGCCATTGATGATGAGGATGTACAAGCAGCTGAGTGGGCGAAGTTACGTTGTACCAGCGAAGCAGCGGAAATTGTTGCAGAGCGTGAGGCGCGTCGAAATAAAGGTCGTTGCGCCGACTATCCTGGACTTGCTTTTGGTCGTTCCATATTCAGCTCTGATACCATGATGAAGTTCAATATCATACGTAACGAATTGCATAACATCATGAAAACGCAGCTTAAACGGGTAATTAGAATCATGCGACTCCGTAAGGTAGTCAAGTGTGAAATAATTTGAATTGCATTTAATAATTAATCAAAACTCTCTCAATTTTTGCGAACCTACAAACATGTGCAAATATTTTGATAAGGGCATATAGAGGAAAAAGTATTAGCAAAAAAATATAATGTTCTCCCAAAGTCATTCAGAATTTAAACTTCAAAAGACCGATATGCCGTATTTTATTTTCAACACCGTTATGAGAATTTTCTTTGAGACAATTTTCGATAGTCATTCAAAAAATTGTTATTAATTTCCGGTAGAAACTTTAACTAAAGGGACTTCAGTAGTGTTATAAATAATATTTTTTAATTCGTTTATTCCTCGAAAGTTCTAAAAATAATCGATTGTGATAAAACATTTTTGATAATACTTTTTTGTGATTATTTTGCGTTTATAGAATAATACAGAAATTTATTCGACTTTCACTTCGTCATTTTGCTAATTATTTGCATATTTCGTTGATAATTGTACACATATTGCAATTATTATGTAGATATATTTATATCTATTGGTGGACATGGTCCATACGATGTGCTGTATATATAATATATGTAGTATGTATTCACACGATTCGTATGATCTACAAACATAACTAATATTTGAACTACGGTAACTTTTTTTTTTGCAATTTTCTGTACTTCGTCTTTTATAGATAATGACCCAGTTCAATGTATTATACGCTTCTGTTTTCGTATGTTAAACTGCGAATTTCTTTTTCCACACTTGCTCATATACATACATAAGTACATATATACGAGACGACGACCTTCTTGGCAGGCGTCGTTATACGTTGCTGAGCTCATTCTTCGTTGAGCAGATTGCTACAAATTATATTGCTGCACAAAATTAGGCGGCGACAAATTTGTTTATTAAATGTATTCTCAAGTCTTAAAGAATTTCTATTCATCAAATCACTGTAATTACTACGCGTACGGGCGGAAACTAGGTACATATATTTATCAAAAAGTTATATATATAATTTTAAAAAAATCCTAAGGATTCTTTTAATGTTATCAACTGATAGTGTGGGTATTTATTATTATTTTTGATTTTCATACACCTAATGTACTACAGTAACCCCTCAGCTATCAGATGAACATTAATTCACGTAAACTATTTTTATGGAATAAGGTTCTTAATCAATTGCCATTTTTTCTGTGCACTGACATTCAAAACACGTTAATGTTTCATATGGTCGTTAGCACCTTTTATGGTAACGAATTGACTGAATCAACAACTGGTGATGTATGACTGTATGTTCAATATTCCTAGCAATATAAGATTTTGCACGCTTTGTAACAAGTGACCTGATAGATTTTGACCAAAAAATATTTGTAGTTTACGATTATTTTCACAAATGTAGTAGTTGTTGAAATGAACTTAATTCTGATCTAAACAATAGTGTAATTTTGCTTTCATAATTGTTATTAAATACTTTGAGCAATATAATTCTCACGTTTTTCGCTCTCTCGACATTTATGGAATCAACGACCTTACAACTGGCAGACAGTCAATGCAGCTACTATAAAAGTTGTCGTCACACCGTTGTAATCCAAATTTGGCAAGCGTGGAAAGGTTTGAAAATGGCAAAATATGTTTTACTCTTAATTTCTTTTCATTGCTATGGCATGCGTCCTAAATAATAATTATTATTTAATTATCACGCACAGTAAGTGCGCCCATACGTCACTTGCTATAAATGGAAAACTTACGCGCGAATTTATATTCCCTTATACTGAAATATAGTGCCTCTACTTTCTTATAATTATGAATGTATATAAAAATATTTGTATAACCGTTAATACATTTTTATTGTGTTATCATGTACCTGATATTATTTGTCATAAATTCGATATTTGGTTGCTTAATTAATTAACATTTTATTTCAAAATGGCAATTATACTTTTGCTCTAACCGGTCACAGTCGAAGAGTAAACATATTTAAAATAATTACAACTTTTTGTCAATTTCGTCAGGTTCTGAAGCATACCTTTTAAACAAGTTTCCCATAATGAATATTTGTTAAAAATATATAGTCTGGTAACAATGGTGTTAAGAGAGCGAGTTTTGCTAATGGAATTTGCTTTTCTTCCACTCTAATTGTGTTTTATTTTGCCTTCTGCAAAATCATAAGTATTTTAATTAAATGTACATATGGTTTTTATTTAAGATCTATTATAACATTTTGTGGCAGACGCAAACAAATGGTATGCTTTTAATGCTGACAATTTAACTACTTTTTAGTGTTTTAACTGTGTTTATTTATAAGTAAGCATCTCTTTCGCACAACAGTTTCGAATACAAATGCTTTACTAAATACGGTGCTAGCTGGCCTTGTTCAATGTCGTTTTGAGTCATTCACAAATTAAGGCGAGGCTTGTGAGAGAGGTATTCTCTTTGGTTGTTCCAGTAGTAGCAACAGTTCCAGTAGTAGCAACAACAATAATATACGAATGTCAACGTAATCTTTGGCTGGTCGTTGTCGGTGTCTCCACTTCCAAAGAATTCGAAAATTTTGACCGATTTCATTTTGCGATACGAATTCACTCAGTGCTGAGCTCATAAATTTACGCTGCGGCATTTAAAATCGAGACGTGGTAGTTTGTGTTAAAAATTAACAAAGTTTGCAAAGTTAGTAGTGGCTGTTTTGTGAGCGATACCATTATTGGGTTTATTCGTAGAGTGCAAAGAAAAGTGCGTGTATAGTATTAAATTTATCAAGTTAAGCAACCATTGTAAGGAAAAAAGTGCTTAACTTTGAAAGAAAGGTAGAAGAAGGAAGCAAAGTAGGAATAGCAGCAGAAAAACCGGTGGTTCCAAATTGTTGGTGTAGTGTGTTTCGTTTCGTTGCGTTCCGCATTCATAACTTCTCTTTATTTTTCGCTATTCGTGTCATATTTTTTTTTTTTATTTAGCCCTTGCCACCGCCGTGTTCATTTTCTAGAAGTCATAAAATATTTTTTTTTATAACGTTTGGTGCTGCGAAAAAAGTACGAAAACTAATAAATTGTAAAATTCAAAACCTAAAAGTTATTTTTTCGCCGGGAAATATATAATTTATATATTACACAAGAGTCAAAAACGAAAGTTCGTTTATCTTTTTCCAGTTTGAAGTAATACTTGTGTGGCGTTTGTGTTCGTGGTAACCATCAGTAAAAGTGCGAAGCAAAGTCGAAAAGTATTTTACCTACAACGATCGAGCCGAAATTGTGTGCTATCATTGAAAAAAAGTTAGTGCAACAGTAGTGTTGTTGGCCATCCTTTACCCCACCTTTAAAAAAAAAAAAGCAGTTAAATATGACGACCAGCATTCCACAAGGCACCCTCTTGGATGTGCTGAAAAAGAAAATGCGCCAGACCAAAGAAGAAATGGAAAAATATAAAGATGAATGCGAGGAATATCACAAGCGTTTACAACTTGAGGTGGTTCGACGTGAAGAAGTAAGTTCCACTCTGATCATTGTTTAGGGATGTAAAGGGGTGAAGGTCGTGTACGCGTATGCACTGTAGCTTAGGCACAGGTGTCGCTATCACGTAAGCTGGAATAATTATTACAAATTATCCATGAACGTCAATATTGGTTTCTCATTGAGGTTTGAGATGTGGACAGTGAATAGTTTTTTGCGAGTTATTTAATCTAGATGAACGTATTTATTTTTAATTATTTTCAATGTGACGATTCCATACACTTTTGTTTTAATTGCTTATATGCGCGACAAGGATGGCGGATCCTACTTTGCACAAGTGCCTTGGTAAAACGTCAAATATTGCCATGACTGCAAGTTTGACATACATATTGTGTTTAGAGACCTGTAATTTCCAAACAGTACTATTTTCGGTGATTATTAATTGCTTTTTAACAATTGAAATTAATTGATACATTTATGTAATTAGTGTAGGTGTCTTTAGTTTAATAGCTACGTTGTGTATCTTAATAGTAAAGTATAATCACTATAATTGATTAAAACTTTGTATGGCTACAAACATACAAATGCATTTATTACCCTGAAAAAGCAGTTTTCAATAATATTTGAGGCTTAAACTGAGTGCAAATATTGTTATAATGGTTGTCTTGTCCTTAAGTTTTATTAAGCTCTGCTCGATCTTTTACATTAACAGTTATTGGCACCATCAACGGCTTAAAATATTAACTCTCGGCTGATAAATTAATGGTTTAAGAATATACTTGATAAACATACATCTTGCGGGCACGTGTGAGCCATTCAGCGGATGGGCAATTAAAATGTAACTGTTACGACAATTAAAATTAACTTTAACCGTCTTCATTCTTCCGAATTTAAATAATTATAGTTAGTGTTGTTAAAATTTGTGTTAAAATTCCGTGAAAATATCAAGAATTAAGTTCCGCTTGAAATAATGGCATTCTTTGTGCATTTAGTGGCACTGGTCAAAATATTTATTGTTTTTATATTTCTGCGGTTGATTTAGTTGCTCTTTCCATTTTTTTCAATCCATCTTTGGATTTATGTGGTAAACAAGTAAAATATGGGTTATCCATATTACTTTCATTTGTGGAAATATTTTGAATATGTTAACTCAAAAACATTTTTAAGATTTTTAAATTTCAACTAAACGTCACTTGAAATGAATTTTTAATTTCGTATTATGCTACTCGTGTCTATTGATACACCTAAAACTATTTTTATATTTGTGTATATATTTACATATGTACATATGTAGGTAACTCAGGTATCGCTACTGAACTTGGATGAATAATTGTAATTCAAAGTCGCTATGATGTGACTGCAGTGGGAATCGACCTCTATTATTTAGTACCATCTGGGGGTCGACTTTCTGTTGTGATAATTCATGTTCTGCATGGTTGGGAATATCTATTCATTAGGTCGTTTCAGTTTTTGAGTGATTTCCTCAACTGGAAATTAAATTCTGTAGTTTTGCGCTCCATTTCAATGTTGGAAAAATAGTATAGTATCTCATTCAAATATATTCTGTTAGCCATTTCTGGGTGTAAACAGAAAAATACAAATAAGATAATGCTGTATATGTATGCTATCAATGTTGTTGCTATTATTGTGTGTCTGTTTATGTAACTGTTATTGGGTTGAAGGTCTACATAGTATTGGTGTGTCATATCCTACTGATGTCATACAAAACAGCTACATTTTTTATTTAAAATATTTCATAAAATTTATTTTCGATTACATTTTAGGCAGAGTTTTAATTATGATATGAAATTAATTAAATAAATGGTGACCTTCACGTTACATCATGTATTATTTTCAATTACTAATGCAATTATCGATATTTTTTGCTCTGCTAAATATGTATGTATGTTTGTGGTTGATCGTTTTTTTTTTTTAATCGCAGAGTAGAAATGTTGGTAAAAAAAACTAATATTGTTTCCTAAAGAAGTACTATGTTTAGAAGTTTTAAAATAAACATAAATGTTATGTACATACTTACGTGACATTTTTTAAAGAATTTGTGCTTCGCATTATTTATTATTAACACTCTAAGCATTTGTTTGACGCGAACACACCTCAATRCCATTACAACGAACATATATGTATGTAGTTATTGTAATGTGTGAGTTATACTTCGTTTACATTGCATACATATATAAATTTATATATTATATGTTATTATATGGAAGTACATATTTTATTGTATATTGCTACTGACAACGCCATGTGATCATTAACTACAAATACCGGCTAAATTTATTAACAAATGTTATGACGAGATATATGTACTCTTCGTAGCATAGCAATGACCTAGACGATTTGTTACCGCATTCATCTTTACTCGTTTTACTAATTATAATTCCAACTTGTTTTCTACGAATAATTCATACTTTGTAGCAACGCTATACCGGCAAATTTATACATGTTTTCTGTATTTACATACATGAATGACATTTTGGCCGTTTTGAAAGTTTTACACATGTATACATATGTATGCTGAAGCACTCCAGTGATTCTGTTACTACATTCACCATCCGTTCACTTCGAATGAGGTTAATTTCTCAATACGGTTATAAGATTTTATTATGCTCAATTGTTGTGTTTCATTCGATGTCAGAAAGCAAGAGACAAAGTTGTCTAGAATTTTTAAATGCTTTTTAGCAATTTGTTCAATTCAATGACCGTTCGAATATTGTTTGAAGTAGTTGAGAAACGTGTAAGATACACTATTGCTTATTGCTCTTATTGTTGCTTGATTTTTTTATGCTAATGGTATTTTTTGTTTTTTTTTATCAATTTTCTAAAAGCTCTTTCTCTATTTACACTCCCTTATTCGTGGACTTTTTGTTCATATCGTTGATTCTGTTAGTTTGGCATATTTGCTGCTATGTATGAATGTTCGTACATGCGCATATACATATGTATGTATAGGAGAATTTGAGTGCTTAACAGGCGATGACGTAAGCTTACCTTCATTCAAATTCATATCACAATTTGTGCACAAAGCCTGCTGTACTGTGGTTTCTTTTCTTTTCCTGTAAATTTATATGATTTGTACTGCCTGATGTGCATAATTTCTTTAAAATATTTGCTCTTCCCTACTGTTGGTTTCGAAAGCAGCAAGTGTGACTACCTAATCTACCTTATATAGATTATTTTCTCCCTCACTTTTGTTATTTGAATATCCCCAGTCAACATTATAGTTATATAGCTTTGTTATAGCATGTTTCAACATTGCTTGCCTAACTTGTTGAGTAAATTTGGTGGTGGTTTCGCAGCGTTTCTCCCTCCGGTGTTGCGTGCTGTTGGTGCTGACGAATGAGCGCTACCACATTGACTTTAAGTTTGCTTATTTGTTCAACGGAAATATCAGCAATTTTAAATATTTCGAAGTAAATCATTGGACTTAACCCTCTCAGACGCCTGGTAGTACCGTAGTTATTACGGTTAAACATAATATTGGCATTGAAAATATATTTTTTCAAATATTTCTGCAAATTAGTTCCGAATTACCATTGTCAGATGTACATACTCTTCTTTCATACACATACGTACAAGTTGTTTAGTCAATTCTGTTTTCGAGTACAAAATTCTATTAATGTACTAGGAGGGCATGTGAATAGATATCGAATTTATAGTCTCTTTCAGTGGTAATAATAATATTTGTCATGTCACTTGTCTCGTGCGCAATGATGTCATTCAACTTGAATTTATTGTGTTGTTACTTTCACGGCGCACAGTAAAACGATCATCTTGGCGCCTACTTCATTGTATAGATACGGTTTTAAAGGTCATTGAAGAGAATTACTTATATAAATAAAAATATACCATATGTATTTGGTTTTATTATAGTTAAATGGTTTAAAATGTTGTAACCGCATTCTTAGTTAAAAAAAAAAATTGTTTGGGCAGTGTCCTATATATTTTGATCGGATATATGTACGTTCCTATATCCAAATTGTTGCCTTTACGCTGGCAAAATTCGCCTGCCGCTGATAGTTAGTAAACTTGAAATCATTTTGAAGAGGTTTTAGGAGAGGATTCAAAATATTTGCACATATTTAAGAACGCAACGTGTAGTTCCCTTTATTTTTACAGCTCACCACACTAAAATTGGATTCAATGGAGCAACTGGGTGCTGCAATACACTATTTAAATAAAAAGAGAGCTTACCCACAAGCATTTATAGGGTTTCAATTTAAAAGTTAGAAGTTTTATATTAATGTATGCTAAAAAGTAGGCCATTAGAGAGTTGAATAACGGTTTAGTTAAGTAGGCACACTATTTAATCTCTCTGAGAAACCAATAGTTCATGGAATATAGTTTTAAGCAAAAGTATTTGAGTATTTCTTATAAATAAAGTTGAATTCCCCTAACTCGAATCATCATAATTCACAAAAAACTCGAGTTAGAGATACTTCGAGTTATGGAAGGAAATTTGTTAAAAATTTGACTTCTATTGTCAATTCATGAGTTCGAGTTATGGAAGTTCAACTTTATATACTTAACATATAAGCACTGGTATATTCGAGTTTATTTTAAATATTACATAAGTAAGGTTTTTGTTTTGGAACGAAAATTCTATTTCCTATTTGTGGTATTTGATTTGAATTACAGGCCGAATCAGAGGTAGCTGCATTGAATCGTCGCATTCAATTGCTCGAAGAAGACTTGGAACGTTCAGAAGAACGTTTGGGATCAGCCACAGCCAAGCTTTCGGAAGCTTCCCAAGCTGCCGATGAGAGCGAACGGTTAGTATACCTTTGGTTGCGAACTGCAACAGAGGATATTTATTACTATAGATTAACTTAATTTAATATCCACTTAGTAATATAGGTATGGTAAATATAATTTGTACTTTATTTTTCATACGAGTGATATACAACAAATTTCTGCAGATATATACAATAATTATAACTATTACAAATTCCAATATACAGGATACGAAAAGCTCTTGAAAATCGTACAAATTTGGAAGATGACAGAGTAGCTATTTTGGAAACTCAATTAGTCCAGGCAAAATTAATTGCCGAAGAGGCCGATAAAAAATATGAAGAGGTATATTTTTCAGCAAACAACTCAAAAGAGTTACTTTTAGATAGGGTCTTAGGGTTATTAGGTTTACTTTTATTTTGAGTATTCTTGAAAAGGTTTAGGAAATTTGCTCTCCAGTATTTTTTTATATTTTATTTGTGGGTAATGCTCTCTACGGCGTGTATTTTTTTTTTTTAATAGTTATAAGTTTTATGTATTCCAATAATATGTATGAATTGGGACCCCTGAGGCGCTTAGATATCAACGAGCCTTGTGGATTTCAACGTGTTTTCTACTGCAGTCCATAATGTATAATAAAAACCTATTGTATAATTACTTTTTAAGATATGCACTCTAGGTTAACATATTAAGCTCAAGCATTGTATAATATGTTCTATTGATGTTTTTAAAAACTAATTCAAATATTTCTTTAAGATGTGAATTATTGCTAATCATTTCATTTTAAAACTGATTTTATTTCCACAGACACAAAGTAACGTTAATTTGTAAGAATTCTAAGATTAAAAAGATCAAGGAAATGTTTGAATTAATTAGAACATATAATTATCTAATACTTATTATAGCCGCTTGAAAAGGCATTTATCTAACTCAATGAACAATTTTTTTTATTTATTTCCTACAATATTTATATAAACTCAATATGTCATCTTGGTAAAACACAACCTCAACAAAAATGGTTCGCTACTCAACAATATTATCTATATTCCTAAATTGCACGAAATTAAATCAAAACACGACTATTCCTTCTGTATAAATGTATGCAAACAAATATATATATATATATATATAAACAACGTATACCACCACTGCAACGTATGCGCCTTTCATATGTTTTTATGTTGACACCAATTGTAAAACTGTTCCTGTATCTGTGTAACTACAACACCAACAACCACATGATCGACGCACTGATGGAAACACCTGAATGCTGTGCTTGTGCTAAAATGCATCATCGCCGTCTTTTCTCAACATACCGTTGCTTGAACGGTCTCCTATGGGCATTGAAATCGCTATAACATCAACTTTTTTATAACAATCTTGGATAACATACAGCGCTCGCAAGATTCTTGAGAACCGCGCCCTTGCCGATGAAGAACGCATGGACGCCCTTGAGAATCAATTGAAGGAAGCTCGTTTCCTTGCTGAGGAGGCTGACAAGAAATACGATGAGGTGCAATATGATAAACCAATCATTGAGTTATTAGCTAAGCTTAGTTGTTCTATCGCTGAGTCGTCTTCATTCTTAAGAAACACCATACCCACTCTCACTACCAACAATGATATCAACAGCATCACCACTGCAAATGCAATTAATAATGTTACTAACACTAGCGATAATGTAAATGTAGTAATAGGCACTGATACTGACACTGACGCTGACGCTAAAACGGACGTGAAAACGAATGCAGTCGAAGACTCTACTGACGCTGCTAATGTTGATACAAATATCACAACGCCATCACAAGTAACTTGATTTTGCAATTGTCAACATAAGAATAAACTCAAAAAAATAAGAGTAACTATGACAATTTGCATTAGTTGAGAATTGATTAATATAAATGATGACTAGTAGAGAAGTAAAAAAAAAATAAAAGGACTTGTCGATGATAACCAGATAAATAGGTAATGACCAAACCAAATACATAAGTAAATATGTATGTGCTAAACGCTGCCCAACAGTTGTTAGCTGCAATCTGATGTGACTACACGCAAAGTAAAGGATCTCTTCTTCTTGGTTGTTGCTTTGTCTGTGTGTACACAAGAGAAAGAAATGTTGGCAATGCTTGCATGCACTATTTGTATGAACGGAACCGGAACCGGAACACAGTAACTGATACGGATATATAGGAATTGAAACTAAAGATAATAATTATTGTATAATAATTTTATATGTACTTTAATTAACTAAAACATATTGAAACTAATGAAACTTGTGCTGCTACTATGTTGTATATTCACTGAAAAAAAAGTAAAGAAAACTAAATATGTAAAATGTATGAAAAATAAATATAACTATTATGTACATTAACTTGAAAAAAGCAAAGTTAAGCGTGAGTGAAGAAGCGATGAAAGTCCTGACTTCTCCTCGAGAACAGATTTTAAGTAATGTAAGGTTGCCTTTGCTATATACAAATTAAAAAGTAACGATCAAAAGCGGAAGTAACGTCCTTAAAAACTCTTCCTAAATTTATTTATTATATATATAAATATACATGCGAACGATTTTAATTTAGAATTTTGAGATATTCCTTAAATTTTTGCAGAAACACATTCGCACATCAGAATGAAATCGAAACCTTAAAAATCTTAAATAAAAAATTATAGAAAAAGAACGCATAGACTTAAAGTGTATCGCGGTTCAAAGTGGTGCCTAAATGTGCCTTTTACTATACATACAGAAAAAATAAAACAAAATCTATTGTGCTTGAGTTATATGTACGTATACACGCGCGATGAAGATTATTATAATTAAATTCAACTAATTATTGCAAAGTTTGGTCTTACCATTTTTTATTAATATATTATATAACTTTATAATTTACTTATTGGTTATCTGGTGAAATTTTATATTTCAAACTAAAAAAATTAATTTTAAAATTTGCATTTTCTCCTGCACACGCACTCATTTTTTTCTATAATGTTACTTTTTACTTTTGTAACAAATCACTGAGCATTACTTGAAAATATTACAAAACGTCACCAAAAAAATGTACATATCTAAATATGTAACTACTATAATTCAGAGATTTATTTTGACCAGTTGTTTAAACAATTATATTTGCAAATGGTTATTTACGTAAATTATCTACAAAATGTCAAATACTATATCAATTAATCTTGTATTTTATATAAGACATTTAAATTTTATATAACTCAGCACATAAAATTATTTAATTCTGTTTAAATTCATATGAATATAAAGAAAAATAAAAGTTTAATTGATTCAAAGCAAAATAATGGAGACGATAGCACGTCTTTTTTAATGAAGTGGGAGCAATGGGAGCATTTTTCTTCGTTGTTAGGCAATGGTTTTTGTACATTTCAAGGTGTTCGATTTTTATAGAAATATTTATTATAGAAGGAATTTCATTGATTTCTTTAGGCAGGGATTAATGAGGTACTTTTGGGTTTTCAGCTTATAAGTTTCTTGTAATACGATACACGTTTTATTGAGAATTTATACAGGCTGTGTGGTGCTTGCCTGATACCATTTGCAATATTTTTTTATTTCATACTATAGAAAACTGTAAAACTTATACAAATATGTACATATATACTCAGTAAGAAAACGGAATATCAAAGAAAACTGATATGGTAACTTATAATTGATCAGTTGCACGCGATAAGATTACATTCTGTCGTTAGATTAGCAACAACATGACACAATTTTTTTTGTCGCTTTTATAGTGAACTGCAAAATAATTTTTTATTATGGTCTCAATTGGTAATTTTTTGATCTTTGGTGTATCAGATTTGAATCATATCTTGAGCAGTAATGACGTCAACACAGCAAATTGTGTGTTAAATATAAACTTTTCGAGGAGAGTATTTTAGAGAAACACAAAACGACACAGGGCGCCTCTGAAGTACATTTTTTCGCTCAGTAGATATTTTATTTGCCTAACACAAAGTTATACTACGATAAACATACATATGTACATATATTGGCGTATTATATTTTTACCTGCATATGACAAATTTCTTTGAAATGACTATCTTTATCTTTCGTTATATTTCACTTCCCCCTTTTGCGTATGTTTTCGCCAACGGTGTTAAGGGTTAGACTTTAATACTTTCTTTTGTTGAAATTTCTTCAACTTGCGGGTTTGAAATGATGAATCATGTGTTTGAACAGAAGTTTGGTTGCTTGGGCTTTTCGCGCGTTGTGCTCAAGTACACATTTGTAAGCAATTACTAAACTCGATTGTGATTCAATCGATTGCCATGTTACCTCAAGCTAGAGACGGATGTCTCATGTCTTATGTGACATGTAGCCATATAAGGCAGTCGTTATAAATCAAAAGTTTGATGCAAAGTTATTTGTTCAAGATCATGATCAAGATCAAGAAGCCTTCTGCTTGTTTCTTACTCACACGGTTGGCCTCTTGACAGGTTACAACCTATTGGGATCAATGCAAGCCGAATGGGCATAAATGTTAATACATGCAGAAAGTAGAGAAGTTGACATGACAGAGACGCTGAAACACCTCCTATGTCTGCGTCCAACACTGTGTACCTTGGAATTATGGCGAAACTTAAGTAAACTGAGTCTACATCAGGCATTAAGGACTTGTAGGTCTATGTATGGCGTGATTGCCGGCCAGTATAACCTAATGTATTTGTTCATTTTAGAAAGTTGTACAGGTATGTACTAAGAGAGGCCAAGAAATGATAAAATAAATACATATATATTCATAGGCATATTTGTGCAAGTACTAGATGCGTACACACTTCGCTTCTCCAAAAATTCTTATAACTTCGTTTAGGTTTCATATTTTGATATTGTATTATAGTTAAAGGTTGGGGATAATAACGTTAATGGCAAATTTTTGATATTGTTAACATAATGACAAAACTGAATTGAACTACATATGACCTTTGCGAAATGTAAATACTGACGCTTTCCTGACTTGCCTTAATATTTGGAAATAACCTGCAGAAATAAAAACTAATTATATTAATTATTTCCATGCATGATAAAAGTGTGACAAATGGAATTTCTTCACATCATTTCAATATGTCAAAATTTTCGGTTTCACAAAATAAATTTTTAAAGACGGCCTTAGAAACTAATATGTTTAAAATTGGTAAAAAAAAAAAATTAAAATAAGATAATAGATTTGCATAAAATTAAATGAATCTATATAATTACAAAGGTTTTAATAGTTTTAATCATATTTTGCCCGATAATTAAAAATTTTCTTATGACGACAGCAAAGTAATTTGTGGTTAAAAAATAGATAGATCCATTATAACTGTGCCAGTGTTTTGAGATTAGACAGGTTCTAGTTTATGAAGATTTTTGAAAAGCTTTTTTTTAAATACAAACAAATTTAAGGGAATTGTACAAAAACCATATTTATTTTTCTTTATACTCAACGAAGAAATGCAATCCAGGACCTACCATTTTATGAAAATATAGGTTTAAAAATTAGGGTACACAAAGTAAGCGCACAAGTTTTATTTACATCATTCGTGTATATATAGTGTTTTGATTTTTATTTATTTTGTGAACAAATGTAAATGTGTATGACACAATTTGTTGTATGATATCATAGTGTGAGTTGATAAAAGACATTAAGTACAAAAAAAAAAAATTATAATATTCTTGGTTAAGTTTATTATTTGCATAATTAATGCCTCTCTAATGCTCTGTGTAAAATACTGCAAACAATTTATAAATTGAAGTGAAGTACTTATTGAGTTTTACTTGTCAACTCAGAATATGCATATGCAGTAATACTAATAACTATATCAAATCAAGCTTTATATTTTAAAACAAAAGCGATGTTCTCGACTTAATAAGGACTGGATTTTGTGTTATCTGTACTTGCCTGCCCATTCATCTGTGTTCTTGCTGTTTGCTCGCAATTTCCTACGCAAAAATGCTCTTGATAAAAACTCAAATAAAGATTCTATGTACTGATAACTGTATATCTTTTGTATCTCAATTTTCCCGTATTTCCAACTATAATGTTTTACTATACAATATTTAATGTAAAACTTAATATGACAACAACTACAACACAACAACAACAACACGAACGCGTTAAATATCCAAAGGTTGCCCGTAAATTGGCCATGGTTGAAGCTGATTTGGAACGTGCTGAGGAACGTGCCGAGCAAGGAGAGAAGTACGTTTACTACACGAATGAATAACGCCAATTTTGCTCCACTGTCCTTAAAGCAGTTGGGCGCACTAACACAGTTGTTGCTGCTTTTGTTTATGCCCTAAATAAGACAATAAATACAATATGCATAAAAAAATGTTATGCAAAAATGATAATTTTTAAAAATCAGTTTTAAGTATTCAGTTTGAATTTGTTATGGTTTTTTTTAGTACCCACGCAGAATCTGTTCTGCTCGACTAACTCACAAAAACGCAAGCAACCTAACCAAAAGTTATTATTTTTTACTTTTTTTTTTAATTTTAATTTCCGTTTTGATGTTTATACATAAATCTAATTATTTTTGCCTGAATGCAAGATTAGCTAGCTAGTTAGAGCAAAATTTTAAATGAATTGGAAAATGTGAATAATCAACAAAAATGTGCCAAATTTGTATTGCATGCGCCTATTTACTTGTATAGGAAAGTTAAACAAATGTTACAGTCATTCAAATTCATGTTCAAAAATTAGTAGTAGCAAACATTTGCAGGCGTGCACATCAAACATTTTCACATTTCTCACATTCATAAAAATGAGAAAACAAAATTTGCACTTAAAATAGCAACTAATTGAATTTTTTTACTTTTTGTATGTATTATTGCCGCTATATGCTAACCAAATGATAACAAAAACAAAAAAACGAAACGAATAAATGTTGTCACAAACATTAACACTATTCGCTCGCTCGCCTTGCCGCTGCCTTTGGCACTGACATAAACGCCCATAATTGTCCTGTTAAATGTCCTCTGTACATTACACTATGTGTTCGCTCCGCGCTGACAAATAAAAAATTGGAACCAACTAATCACAAAGGTTGCCAGAAAGTTGGTCCTCATGGAACAGGATTTGGAACGTTCCGAGGAAAAAGTTGAACTTAGCGAAAGGTTCGTGCCGCTTTTTATGTGTTTTATATTTATATTTTATGTATGCGTTTTGATATTACCTACTAATAACTATTTATTACAAAACAAGAAGATGAAGAAAAGTAGAAAAATTTAAGCCAATTTGAATAATTATGAAATTTACCAAAAAAAAATCATAATTTGATATTTAAAAACAATATAGCAATCAATACAATCGAAATTTTATAATAGCCAATTTGTTGTAGGTAACTCAAATAATTATGCGCCTATTGATCAAGAGTAACGAATTTTTTTTTATTATCTTGCCTAATTCCAATTTTCAATTTCACACTTTTTGATGAAAACAATTTTGAATATACATACGTACATGATTATGCTGATCATGCAGTCATTACTGACGTTTTGAGCTGATGTGGTGTTTTCGTATAACTTTTCTTCGCTACAAGAACAACAACTCAGTCTTTACACAAAAAAACATTGGACTCAATCGTTTTTCCTTTTTTATCAAATGATATTTCTCTTCAGAAAGCACATGTGTAAAAGCAATTCCTAGCGCAAATGGCAAGCAACTTGAACTGGCACATCTATTGAAATAATCTCATTGCTATGCGATGATTTTTTAACATATTTTTTGTTGTTTTTGTGCCATGATTTCTCCTTATTGTTATTTTGGCGAAACGGTGAAACGCCAACTGAATATTTGAAGATCGAAAAGGTGCACAAATGTGTGTACCAACATATATAGTATATATCAGTCTTTAATGTACTTTCAATATTTACCTATGCAGACACATTCACGCGCTGTGTATTAATAATAGTGAGCATCTGACGCTGATTTGCCGGTTCCTACAGAGTTGTCAGTCATTTAATCGGAATTACTACATATTTTCGTCTACATTTTGTTTTATTTTTTGGCGCTGGCAGATTTGAAAGTGACTGCCACACAAACTAATCTTGTTCGCAAAATGGATAACTGATTTTCAAGTGTCTCTTGGATTTTTAGATTTTCATACACAATTCATCAATATATTATAAACTGTGTACAAATTTTGTTCTTTGGGCTTTCAAAAAAATATCACAAACAAACATTCATATTTTCCTAATTTCTTTTGAGTTATTGGCTAATTTATTTTGCCGTTTTTTGCGCTATCGTCAGGAATTTGATTTGTTGACACCATTTTTTAGTGTCATTTGAAGCATTCGTTGATGTTGGCCGCAAGCAAAAACTGTCGTTGTCGGCAGCAAATTTTGCATTTCATATTTTTCGAGGCTGTGATTTTGTACCCAAATAATTTAACACACAAGCTCGCATAATAAGTGAGTTCGTAATTGGACAAGTGTCTTTTTTTCTCCAAAAATTGGCTTCAACTTTTCTGCGAATATACATACATACATAGCATTTCTCTTATTGATTATTTAAAAATTACTTGTTTAACAGCAAAATTGTGGAGCTTGAGGAAGAACTCCGCGTTGTTGGCAACAACTTGAAATCCCTGGAAGTATCAGAGGAAAAGGTCAGTATGCACAATATTTCGTATATGTATACAATAATATTTCTTTTAAGTTCCATTTCTTTACATTTATTTATATTTTAATTAATTCCATTAAATTCTCATTACATAAGAGATAATTTTTATAAGAGGTATTATTCTGAAAGTCTGTTATTCCACACAAAATCATACATACATATTTCGATTAACTAAAACTTAAACTTAAAGAATTTCCTTAACATAAGGTAATCATGTGTTAAATTATTATTGCTCTG